GTCTACTATAAGCATGGAGTGTAAATTCTTGTTTAATATTTTAGTTTTGCATAATTGAATGACCAACACGTGTCCTTCTATGTATATTCATGCCATATCAACTAAATATGTGCATTTATTAATTTTTTTTTTCGGACTCCTAAACTTAAGGTTGTCACAATTTTTATTTTTATTTTTGACTTTATGTACATTAAATTTAAACTATATGTTTTTTGATAGTTTTAATATATAAGTCACCTTCAAAATTAAATAATAACAACTGATTGTTGGCACCAAACTTTTGTAATTTCTTTCAAAAAAATTTAACAAGAAAATAAGTTTGAGGATGTTACAGATAGACTATATTGTTTATAACTCGTGAGTTGAGCGTGAGATTACCTAGGTAATCAAAATATGATTTTGATGGAATTAAATGATATATTGAATGTGAATAACATGTGATTGCTATGTGGTCATGGAAATTGATATATGATTATACAAAGGTGAATAAGCAAAGAGACTATGCATGAGGGGAGAAATTCTTGAAATATTGTGATTATTGAATTTATATTGAGGGATTAGAATGATATAAACAAATGTTGATAAATGTGTAATTTCCATATGATCTTAAAAAGGTTATGTGCATACCTATGTGGATAGACAAAGTGATTAAATATGAAGTAAGGAGTCCTTGAGTTATTTCCATGATCAAATTGGTATGAATCCTAGGTGATTAATTGTGTGTTCTATCTAGGATATTGAATAAGATAGACATGGACTTAGAATGAGTGATGGACTACAGTCATGCTCAAAGGAAAAGGTGGAGTCTACCTAAAACTATATGATGGCAGCTTGGAGAGTCTTGATGAAGAAGACTAGCCCGAGGTTGATAAATTATGATGATTACTGGAACTCAATGGGTATTGTGGTGGTTGAAGCCACGATCAAACAAAGATATGAACGTTGGAGAGATATATTCGGGGTGTGTAAGCTCTAGTCGAATGAAGATTATATTCAGGGTGTGTAAGCCCTACACGAACTAAGATTATATAAAGGGTGTGTAAGCCCTAAATGAATAAAGCATTATACGGGGTGTGTATGCCTAAAACGAATAAAGTATTATACGTGGTGTGTAAGACCTAAATGAATAAAGCGTTGTACGAGATGTGTAAGCAATAAACAAATCAAAGATATTATATTGGGTGCGCAAGCCAAAAATGAATGAATACAACCATAGGGTGTGTAAGTCCAACATGGATGAGTAAAAGGGATAAAATGTGTAACCCTCTAGATGGAATTGGCTTTAGACTATGGGTGATGTAACCTCTCGAAGTTGCTATATGCAAGTACAGGCCAAGAGCTATTTAAAGGGAATTGTTTTGAAATACAAATAGGCCTACGGGCCAGCTATTTGATTGGTATATATACTATACACATGATTTGAAATGGGGTAGCTATAGGTTATGCCCATAATCTAGTATTACCCTATGTTGAGGTCTTGTGTTTGAAACATGGATTATATGCCTTATATATAGTTGTCATTGTACTTTTCAAATGCTTCAAAGTAATGTCCCCTTCACGGGGGAGCCCACCTCACAGTTTTCAGGTAGAAGCTAGAGCTTGCTTCCTGTTCCCTTTGCTTCGGGTGATTTATGGAGAGAAGACGTGGTTCATGCTTCTTCCAGTTCTATTTTGATATAAGTAAAATGATGCTCATGGGACTATTTTAAGCTATAAATGATGATTTGGGAGCCTGTATGCTCATGTTTGCCCTGTATGGCCTTTGACTTAAAAAATGTATTTGTTATTCGCTGCGTATTTTGAAATGCTTTACTTACGATTGTTTATGGATGTACTTGTGTTAATGGTATTCATGTACGTCTTGCATGGTTCGAGTGAGGTAGATTGCGGTTACCCAAGTCGGATTGTGCGGCAATTGTTAGCACGTCCGGCCAGCCCGAGGCGTGATACAGTTGCTTACTTTTAGGCAGATTTTTTTTGTTTTCCGCTACGTTTTCTGTCCGAAACCCAACAGTTTGTGCCAAATGTCTAAATATAGATACTTGTGCCATGTCTCAAGCCCGGCTCTGCTTGACTTGGGGAGTAAACTTGCTGAGCTCGGGTGCACGATGGTGCTCAAGTCTGGAGTAGCGATGCAGTTTAGGTGTAATGATGCTCAACTCAGGTGCAAACGACGCTCAGCTCGAGCGTAATGATCTCAACCTCGATTGTTTCAGAGTTATCTCGCTGATCTGGAAACCATGTTGTCCTTGTCCTTGGCTTTGGTTGCATGCTCGGCCTCGACTGCAGTTATGAAGTTCTTTCATTGACCCGAGAACTCGGTTTGACCTCAATCACGACTCGAGGAGTGAGCTCGACCTTGGCCTATTGATGTTACCTTATTCTATTACGGATGTTCGTTAATGCATTATCTTGATCCTTGAGGTATATAAAAATATACTCCATCGATCTGGTTTCGCACCAATATTTACTCATCATCATCCTGTCGAGATGGGGTGTAGATGTCTAGAGTAGGCATTCCACCTTTTGGATTGAAAAGTAATAGAACTTCAATCGCACGAATGATGATACCTTATTATTGTTAACACAGTGCTCCCTTCGTCCCCGTTTAACGTTTCTGTTTTCTTTTTTTGAACGTCCTAGTTGAAAGTTTCTATTTCTATTTTGGAAAATAACAACCGCTCTTAAATGACATTTTGATTATCAAATATTAAAAAGGAAAAATTGATAGTAATAATCCCAACTATTGGCGGTCCGCTTATAATAATCCCAACTATTGATTATTTCAGAATAATCCCAACTTTAGGGACCATCCGCCAATAATGGTCCATGATCAGATTTAACTCCTATAAAAAGTGAATTTTAAATAGAAATTAAGTGTAAAAATTAAAAGGTGGGATTATTTATAGGCATTACTTGCTATATCTCTTCTCATGCACTTTAGAAACTACAAGAATTTATTCTTAGGGACCATTATTGGCGGAAGGTCCCTAAAGTTGGGATTATTCTGAAATAATCAATAGTTGGGATTATTATAAGCGGACCGCCAATAGTTGGGATTATTACTATCAATTTTTCCTATTAAAAATAATATATTTACAATATTACAATTATCATTTTTTTTGGAATAAATAGGCTTAAATTGATAACACATCATTCAAATAACAGGTAATCCGACAAAAAGATTCCTGACAACCGCCGTCCCGCGAACCAGACTCAGAATTAATCACCTCAACATAAGCAATATAACTCGTTGATCCATTAACGGGCACAAAAGAGCCAAAGACGGTTACCTCTATCCTTCAATCACCCATATCCAAATCCACCATCTTACAAGCAGGAAAAACAACAACAAAACAGACCACAAAACAAAATAAATTGTCATAACATGAAAAAGTAAAGCAGATAAACTCGAACTGCTGTCCGAGCTTGCCGAACTGCACGAGCACCCAAATCTTCTTAGGCAGATCTACTGGTTGAAGCCCGCCCTTTCCCCGTTTTTGTCCCATCTAGAGCCATGCTATCCTCTCCAATCTTGTCTTCCCTCTGGGCGACCTGAATCATTCTTCTCTTTTGTTCCCCTGATGTTTCCTCCTTCGTTTCCGCTCCCACGCCTTTAGTTATACTCTGCGCTGATTCTGAAATAGACTCTTTCCCCCCTCCATCCAGCCTGCCATCAGACTTGTTATCCCCTACATACCCGCGGTCTCTGCCAGAGCTCGATGAACCCTCCAGTAGCCACTTACTTCCAGCCTGCTCTAAGCTAGACCCCAATTTTTTTCCCCAGAACTAGATCTTCTTCAAAGTTTAACGAGCAAAATTTATCTGAATGCCCAATTAAACCGCATATGAAACAGAAATTGGGCAACTTCTCATACTTGAAGTCCGCCCAATACCTCTTTCCTTCTTTCTTCAGATTGGTTCCCTTTTTCAGAGGTTTATCTACGTTCATGCACACCCTAATTCTCATATAAGACTCCCACTTCTCACTATTATGATTATCATCATATTTTATAAATTTTCCAATAAAATTTCTAACCCGTCTTACAGTACGTAGGTTTACTAGGCTATAGGGAACATTATGGATTTCAACCCAAAAATCAGACTCATTTAAAACAATCTTATGCAGAATATCATCTGATTTAACCTCTTTCAACAACAACAGATTGCGCTCAAATTGCCATGGACCTCCATCAAGCACACGATTCATATAAACATGATGATAAAGTAAAAATGTACATTTTTTCACCAACTTCTTTGATCGAAATTCCTTTCCCCGGCTTCCATAGCAAGGACATGAGTTCCCTGAGAGCTGGAAATCTGACCTTGCTGTCTGTCAACAGCACTCCCACCACCAGAAACCCCGGGCTGCTCTCCTCCACCGATACCTCCTCTGTATCGAACTCGTCCAGATCCAGTCTTCCTCTACCCCAATCACCATCTTTTTGACTTATCCACGAAGCTTTCCATTCAAATCCGCTGACTTGTCTTCCTGCCGAAACCGCTGCCGTAGTCGAAGCTCCCTTGCAATCGACGAAGCACCGAAACCAGCGCCTCTCCTCTCAGCGTCGAAACCAGAGCCTCTCCTCTCAGCAGCGAAGCCTTTCCAATTGCCAAACTCAGTCGTATTACTACGACTGAAATTCCTTCCCAAAGCCAAGAAATCCAAATAGAGAGAGACGAGACTCCACCCAGGAGCCCGAGAATTCCTGCACCCCCCTCGGCAAAGCCGATGACGGACGAACCGAGCCTAGGCGTTACCGGAGGTAACCCTAGAGAGAGAAGTTCCGAGTAAAAGCAATATTACAATTATCATTAATAACCTCATTACAGTATATAATTATCAAAATTATTTTTCAAAATATACTCAAATACCTTATTTAGTTATCCTATAATTGTCATTTTGTAAAGAGAACTCTAAGTTGAAAGGGAGGCATTACAGCCTTACAGGTATTAGTTCCACGGAGTAAACTGTAAATATTGTGCATGTAGGGTAAATTAATGGGGTTGTTCAATTTTCTTTCCTTTCTTTTACGTTCGCCTCAGCCCTCAGGCCATCAGCAGTTCCAAGTTCTACCTTCCACCCTCCAAATTCTGGAGTATCAAAATTACGCATTCAAATTCGGTATTTCCATTAAAATTTATGCTTAACAATCTCTTCGACGCACGCAAACCGCAGGTTCTGAGTGTCTGTCGAACTTGGGTTTCGACTCATTCTTTGCTGGCTTTCACATGGATCCGCCAAGTTCTTGGGACTCCTTGCGAAAGCAGGTAACCTCATTGACTTTATTTATTCTCACTATTACACCCATGCCCCGAGGGTTAATTGAATGTTCACCTTAGTGAAATTGAACCCATTCTTCGGAGTTGGATCTGTTCATTCGTGGTGGAGAATTTATTGCTTTGTCTTGGTTCCATCCGTCGTCACATGTGCTTGAAATGCCCAGAAAAGGGTACATTTCGTGATGTTATTTCGATGAATTGGAAGTTGCTTCACTTTATTTTGATCTAATAGAATTTGATGCTTTAGTGATCATCTTCCAGCAAACATTTCTTTTCTAGAGGAACATTGACATTATTTAGGATCGAACTAAAAAAAAGAAAATGAGAAGATTATTTTAGGGGGGGGGGGGGTATGATAAAGGAATAAAGCTAATTAATAAGAACAAATGATGTGTAATGATCTGATATCTTTATCAGTAAAAGCCGCATTTTGATTGCTTCTAATGAGACAGTTCAGTTTAGACTTTAGAGGGCGCGTTCAATGGAAACACTGTAGTTCTAAAACTCCCCTAGTTATCCTATGCAAAGACAAATCCTGTTTGAGGCAGTTAAGAATTTGCTTGCCTTGGATATAGAGACTTTGGCTTAGTTTGGCAGACCAGTTTAGCTCATGATGGACTTAAACCCCTCAAATCCAACTCTATTGTAGCAATAGCCTCGTTTGATAATTGGATGTAAGGATGATGTGGGCCGAAGATGGATAAAATCATTTGTAGCAAAAACTTATGATCTTTAGCTTTTTGCATTCCAACCAATTCATTGTAGTCATCTTGTGCTGAAATTGTCCTTAAGCATGGTTGTCGATGGCGAGAAATGGCGCATGCGCCATATGGCAACAAAACCCTCCATCGCCATGAAACGTCCTCCCGGTGGTGACCATACACATGGCGGCGCCATATTGGTGCCATCATCATCGCCATCACCATCACCATGGCATGTGCGCCATAATATTAAACAGATCTGAACATGTTTACTTTGTTATTTTTGGACTTTGGCCCTGATAGTTATTCAAATAATCTGCCAGTTCATAATATTAATAAAACCCTAATAAGAAATTAATGTGTCTTCCCATTTTATTGACAAAAACCCTAATAAAAAGTAAATAAAGATACAACTAACGTAAAGTCAGAGAAAGCTGCTGAACTAACTTAAAAGCTAGAGTCTGATAGCTGCGCAACAGGGAACGACTTAAGGGAAAACCGACGAGATGATGATGAGTGATAATTGATGACGATTATGGCATAATCATCAAACAAAAACAAATTGACATATTTTGAAAGACATGAAACGTTTTTAAAATACTCCCTCCGTATTTAAAAGATGCCTACGTTTGGTTATGGCACAACATTTAAGGGAGAATAGTAAGTGTAATGAATAGTATAGAAAAAGTAGGAGAAAAGGTGAAAAAGTAGGAAAGAGAGGATAAAAAGTAGAAAAAGTAAGGGTAATTGAGTATTTTTAAAGGAAATACTTACCAAAAAGGGAAAGTGTAGGGAACTTTTAAATACATCCCGAAAAGGTAAGTGTAGGGATCTTTTAAATATGGACTTAGTATTATATTTTTTGGAACTACTTTAAATATTTTAACTTCACATGTTTTGGTTAGAATGCTGATATTCAACTTTTTTATCTGTTTTGGTGGTTGAGTGATAGAATTATAGTGTCTATAGTTCATATTTTTAGTTATTTTATTTTTGTCATTTGGCGACTCCATAAATGCGTCAGTTCATCGCCATGGATGTCGCATACACCATGACAACTATGCCCTTGAGTAATTTACTTTTATAAAAATTACATAGGATTATAAAAATGATACCCCTTAGTGTAATTTACACTTCTCCAATCAATATTTCACGTCTTTCACCAATCATGTTTACTTCATTCAGCTAATTTTTTGGACCAGTGATCCCATTCTAGAGAACTTCCCCTAATTTTGACTGCCGATTTAGCTTTATGTGACAATCATAGCCTTCAACAATAGTTCATCTGTCTGACAACTCAAATTCTGATCTCACTGTGAATCAATTAAGATTTGTCAAGGGAGCCTTTAGAACCACAAGAGAGCATACTCACTTGATCTTTTGTAAATTGATGTGACCACGCCAGCATAGTTTATGAACTTTGACTAGGCTAATATTTTTCTATGATGTGACCAAACATCATAGTATATAGCTCTGATGTTTCAAATCTAGGCGACTAGGCTGCATAATTTTGAGCTCTAAATATACCTTTTGAAGTTCATGTGACTAATGCATCTTTCTCAATTGAGCAAGGTTGGCTTTCACTGAAGAACTTAAGTGTTATGTGAAGATGGTTTGGTTGGTATTACCGGGAAAATAATTGATCCTTTATTTTGAAGAAACATGGACAGAGAATAGAAAATTCTTGTCAAATACATGGGAAATCTTTGAGGCGAAAAAGTTTTTTATTGTGAGAGGAAGAGGGGCAGGACTCATCCACGATTTTAAATACTAGTATAGTACATTAGTACCCATGCAGTGCACAAGATATTAATTTTTTTATATTATAATCATTATTGTTTCATAAAAAATAATCTAAATAAAGTATCTCCATAAAAAAATAACTGAAGGAATCAAGATAAATATAATACTCTCTTTGTCCGTATTTTGGAATTCCTTTTTATACTTTTACATAAGTTTGTTAACTTTGACCCATATTTATGTTTAAACATGACTAAATTAGTATGTGAAAGTTTTTGATAATTTGGTTTATATACGATTACCAAATAAACATAAAATATGTATAGTTAACCTATAACAATTAAATACAAATACAATTAGCATATATAAATTAAATGTAAATTATACACAAAATTAGAATAAATGTGTTACGTTAAATTAAAAATTCACATATGTGCTCTTACACAATCGCACACATAAAAAATTAAAAACATCACTGTAGAGGTAAAACAATTACTCCGTAAATCACTTCACTAAGGATTGTGGAAGGCTGTGAAATAAGAAATTGAGGCAATAAGCCAATTACAGAGGTAAAACAAATATATCACTTAGCCAATTACTAATTACTCAAAGTCGATGCACTCAAATCACAAAACGAAGCCAAACGCCAAACACAAAAAAGTTAAACAATAAAACACTAAATAATTAAAAATCAGAGAATTATAATCACCTACTTATCTCATTCTCCCTTTCTGCCGACTCCTTACAGTACACCTCTGCTATTAATAGTAAGATAATGTGGTTTTGTACAAAACTGTATACTGTGGTTTTGTACACTTTATGATATACAATATTTTATAATGTGGTTTTGTACAAAACGTAAGATAATAAAACTACCATCGTCATCATTTATTATTAATAGTAATGTTTCTAACTTTCTACAAAACGAACATGAAACCACACAGTCAAGTTTAATGATTCAGAATAATCAATAATGCAGTGTTTGCCTTTTCTTCTTTACACATTTTGATTAATCGGGATTTAATGAAATATTTTTCGCATAGATTTCTAAAATGACCTTCAGTCTATTCGATAATACATAACAGCTCAGGCCTCAGAGTTGATAATTATACATTTTTTTATTCCTTGCATTTCATGGTTTCTTCCTTTGGACAATCAGAGGAACATCCATCCCTCAAATAAGCCCCTATTTATCCCTCAAGTAAGCCCCTATTGTGAGAAGTGGTGCTTTCCTTTAGTTTATCATACGACTTAACTGCTAGTGTGGTATTAGCCTCTTGGGATACTTGTATTCACCAGCATCAAATTTTTTAAAATTTCTTATACTCTCCTCTAATTGCTATATTTGTTATGCGGCTATAGGCAAGGAAGCTCGAAGCTCAGCTTGATGAGCAAATGCATTTATATCGTAAATTAGTCAGCACAAAAGTTGAGAATGCTGCAGACAATGATCTTGAAAGTGGGATAGAACAGTTACTGAAACAGCTCCAACAAGTCAACTCTCACATGCATTCTTGGGTCTCATCTGGAGGATCTGAATTTTTTTCACACACATTGACTCGCCATCAAGAAATCCTTCAGGATCTTACTCAGGTATTTGTTTGATACATATAGTGTTAAACTCTGTTCTGGAGTAAATGCTTCAGTTCAGTTATATTTTTATAAGGCAAAAATGAGGAAGCTAATGGAGGCAGCATTGTGGTTTTTTTGTAGCTTATTTCATTGTCACCAGATGTTAACTTATCAATCCCCACTACCAACAAAAGGCCAAATCTGCACATTTTTTTAACAAGATTTTTTTTTTAAGATGAGAGATCATTAGAGTTTGGTGGGACAGGTCATGTTTTTCATAATTAAGAGATAAAATTGGATGGGGAAAATAGAAAAAATAGTTAATGAGGAACGTTAAGTACACACAAAAGTATGGATTGCACAGAAAGATTTTACATAGAGATGCCAAAGTGTCATTAATCACTAACAAAGGAGCATTAACTCTATTCTCCCTTATGAAAAATTATGCTTGATTCGAGCCAAGTCAGCCAAAGTTTTCATTCAATGCGTCTTCTATTGACTATATGATTTAACCAACTCTCCTCATGCTCAATAATACTCTTCTCAATAATTACATTGCACTCATGAAATGCCAAAAAAAATGATTATGAGTTTCATTATCCCTCATTCACTTAAGCACACAACCTGAGGATGAGATCATGGCTTCCTTATCTCCTATTATGTTTCAAATCATCAGAATTCTTCCTTTTACGCACTGCCTTTCTGTGAAAGCCACATTTTTGGAAGAAACCTTTGATATGAAAATTCCTTCCCAGAGAGTGTTTTTAGACTTGATTCTGAAAGGTGTGTTTGTTTCTCTTTCATGTGAACTGTGTTCTTTTTAAATATATACTACATATTACATATAGTAATAGCATCCATATTCTTAGCTTAATTTGAAGGTCAGTGTTATTACGAACCAAAATGAAAATGCACATTGGTTTGTAGGAATTTAATCGTCTCCGTTCGAGCTATAGAGCTAAAAAGGAACATGCCTCATTGCTTGATGATTTTAGGGAGTTTGATCACAGTAATTTGGATCTGGAAGATGATAACAATGGTTCTTATGAGCAAGCACTCCTTAATGAGCGTGCTTCCCTACACCGGAACACAGGGCAGGTAACAAGTAAATAAGTCTTTTTCATGTTTCTAAAACTTAATACAAAGGAAGAGTTTTTTGCATCTTGTTTAATGAAATGTGACATCATATCACTATATCAGCATTTAGAGAAAATTTATTGTAAAAAAGGAACATTAAGAAGTAGGCCAAGGGCGTGTTAATATCTGGTGATAATGATCTCTCTTTCACATGGGAGGAAAGGAGCTGCAAGGTTGGGTGAAATAAAAAGATTTTGGGTCCCCTTGGTATCTTTAGGGTGTAGAGTTTAGATGATAATCGTAAATGTATGACAAGTTCATATGGTGAATTAAGAAAAATGATCTTGTAGATTTCAAACCACAAGTATTTGCTTAAATTCACGTGTACCTTGTTGAAGATTGGGTCGATGGCAGTTTGGCTTGAAATATTGTTGCAACTAGCAAGCAGAAGTTACTGCAGAACTTCACTTTGCCATTAGTTTTGCCTTAACGTTTGGGAAGGCAGTACATAACCTTTGGAAGTCATTTTCAATTGTGTTTGGTTCTCATAGAAAAATGCATTTAATTAAAAAGAACTTCATCATTATTATTATAGCACTTCATTTTCCAATTAGTTTGTGTCGTCGGCATTAAATTCAATTATACTATCTCCGTTCCTTTTTAGTTAGTCACTTTTTACTTTTTCAGTTATGATGGTAAACTTTGATCAATCGTTTATACCTGAATTCTTTTTCAAAAACTATAAATTTTATATTTTAATGATAGTATTTTTAACAAAGAACATTTTGATGTCATTTTCATAGTATAAATAATTTTGTATATAAATATATTATCAGTAAAAGTTTAGCATTATTGACCGGAAAAGTCAAAGATGACTAACTAAAAAGGGATGAAGGAGTAGTATAAAATTAACTTACACTGCGGATTTATGCAAAAGGCATACGTTGGATGCCCTTCCTGTCGACAATTACTTCCATAGTCAAAAGAATATTAATTCAATTGTCATTTTCGGGATTTTTAACCAATTGTTGTGACCTTCACACCTTCAATCAACACCACTCCACCTTATCATTGTAGACCACCAAACAGTCACCTTGTCACCACCCCGCCTTGCCTCCAACACCGCCATTCATTGCCTCCACCATTCTACTTCTGACAGCATCCCAATCACCACCCGGCACCCACTATTGTTGTTATCAAGTACTTTCTCCGCTCTTAAATAATTGCAACACTTTCCTTTTTAGGTTTTAGAAATAGCCACTAAGACTAGAATACCCTTGCACCCATCTGATAAACTTTTACTTAACCCAACCCACTACTCTACCCCAAATTAAATATCTTCACCTACTTGGCCTATACTCACACGCTCTACCTTTCCTCTTTCTCTCCCTTTTCTTCTCTATATATATATTAGGGATAAGTACAAAAAAAGTACTTGTGATTGTGCGCATTTTCAAATAGAGGTCTGAGGTTCATTTTTCACAAAGTGGGGCATGTGTTTTAAATCCGTTAGCACCCATGGGGGGTCTCCATCTAAACTCCCTAAAAAAGGTGACATTTCACTTTTAATGCATCCATGTCGCCTTCTTTTTGACAGCGTTTAGACGAAGACCCCAAATTGAAAACACAAGCCCCACTTTGTGAAAAAATGGACCTCAGACCCCTATTTGAAAATGTGGACAACCACAAGTACCTTTTTTGCACTTGTCCCTTTAGATTATTTATCCTCCTATGTTACCTTTCTCTTTCTCTTCCATGGCAATCCATTTTTCTTCTTTCATTTCTTTCTTCCTACCATTTTTTTACTTCCCACTCCTTTTTTTTCAAACTTACGTACAATTTGACCCATTTCTCTTTGATTTCTTTCTTTCTACCATTTTCCTTTCCACCTCATTTGCTTTCTTCATACCGTTGTAGAACAACTAAAAGAATTGAGATATTAAAAAAATATCTTTTTGCGTTTTTGGAGAGGGGTACCTTCGATGAACACAGATTGTAGACATAAAGTGATCAATTAGCAAATTGCTCATAAGAAAGAAGCAATAGGGTAGCTCTTGGGAGAGTCCAAAATCGAAATGGAGTAGAGAAACTAATGACAGAATTAAAAATAGAATTATTAAAAAATGAAATTTCTGTAATATTTGGTCTAAAGATTAAGATGTGTTATTGATAAGGTTTAAAGAATAGAGAACATAATTGAAACCAGCGATGGCGAAAAGAAAACGGAGTTGCTGTTAGAAGTTTGTCATATTGAAGGGTAGAATTGGAAAGAAATGCTTTATTAGCTTTCCTTATTCTTTGTGCCCAGCGAGATGTTGCAATTATTTCCCAACAAAGGAAGTATTATTTTGGCTAATTGTAAATTAGGAGTTTTATTCATGAGTAGTTTGTCTAGTGATTGTTAATTTGTTATAAATATATATATTTATTATGATCCGTGGTTATCATTTATCAAGTACTATTATTATTACTTTTGTTATTAGTATTAGATTTAATATGTTTCCTATCAATAACTTTCTGGAGTAATAGTTTTTAGTTCATTTTGAAAAAAGAAAGAAGATTAACCAAATATTAAAAGATAGCTCTCTAACATTAAGTAAACACCCTCTCAAGTAAAATGGTTTCAGCAATGTGTCATTTTCTTGAAAACTATTTTTGCTTTTTGTAAAAGACCCAAACTAAGAGAAAATTTGCTTTTTGGTCATCCGGAAACAGTCTCTCTGTGCTTTAGTACAGGGGTAAGACTACGTACATCCGACCCCCCTTCCCCACCGTAGGTGGGAGCCTTTGCGGCACTGGGGTAAATGAAAATGATGATGATGACATTCTTAAGCTAAATATATGCATCTCCGCAGATATGTGACATAACATTGCTCTTCTATTTTGTTTCTCGATTGATAAGTTCTGGTGGCTGGTGATTGTTTTGTCAATGCATCTGTGCAAGTTATATTCAATGAGCAACTTAAAGAGTTATGATTCTGCCAGATGGATGGTGTGATTTCTCAAGCACAAGAAACTATAAAGGCACTTGTGTATCAACGGTCAACATTTGGTGGCATTAATTCAAAGCTTAGCAATGTCAGCAGTCGGCTTCCAACAGTAAGGGCGTGTGCTTTTCTTCTTCTTGTTTCCCACATTGTTTCATTCAAGTATTCTTATTACAAATTACTTCTGGTCAAAATCATTTTAGTATGCTTTTGAGTAGGTAGGGATGGGCATTTTGGTTCGGTTTGACTGTTTTTCCATACCAAACTAATTCAATCTGAGCTAATTGAAATTTAATCATATTGAATTTGGTTTAGTTCAACATCGTTTTTACTAAGCCTAACTCAACCAAACTGATTAAAACAAACTGAACTAAAATTATATTAAAATCCCAATAAAAAACCATATAAACCTTGATCAAACCTAAATGAGTCAAGCTGAAACAAATTCTGTTTCATTTTAGTGACCATTTTCCCACTCTGAACCCTACTGAACCAAAAATCCCAACTGAAACTTAAAATATCCACGCCTTCTTGTAAGCATAGATAGTACGTAAATCCGAGAGGAACCAATCCCAAGTTCCAATCATATTCTCACACGATAGACAATGTACTTTTGTTTACCAATCTACTTGAGTACCTGATTTGATTTTGCAGGTTAATCACATTATGTCAGCGATCAAAAAGAGAAAGTCAATGGATACCATCATTCTTTCGTTAGTTGCCTCAGCGTGCGTGTTTCTCATCCTGGTTTATTGGTTGACAAAATGAAAAGGTAATGCATTTTTCTCACACTGCCATCCATCTCTGATCATGACTTGGCTCCATCATATTCTTTTGTATATTAGTATATTACCTACAAAGGCACAAGTTAATAATTTTTGCTTTTTTGACACGAATGGAATCTTGAATTGATTTGTATGTAAACAGTTGCCATGTACACAGTTAATTGGTGAAGAATCAGCTCCAGTTTAGGCTTATTGTTGAATCCCCCCCCCCCCCCCCCAATTCCACAAGATTTGCATTTCCTGAAGATAAGAAACCACAAGTTTTTGTATACCATAGTTTGTTTATTTGATTCTATACTGCTTGATCAGGTCCGTGAAGTCAGCATATATGTTGCACGGACACAAAAATACAAGAATAAAGAAGTTGGGAGCATACCACGGGGATATGAACTTTTTAAATGGAGAAACAGTTCAATCTTTTATTGACCCTCCCGACAAGGTTTCAATTGCGAAAATGTTATTTTTGCAGATATTGAGTACGTAGTACTTCGTATAACATAAGTCACTATTAATAAAAAAACAACAGTGACGGACCCACTAAGGATCCCACGGGTCCCGGGACCCCACGTGCCGCAAAAAATACCTATATATATATATTTGAAAATCAATAACTTAATTATTATTAATAAGGGTAACTAGAAACATAACAATCAAAAGCCAAAGCATTACAATCACATCGTTCAATGCTACACTAGGGTGAGACAAAGAACAAAAAAACCATATAAAAGTTATCATGTTCACTAATCCTGCAACTATGTAGACTCGTCCCGCAATTTGACTGCTCGTGCTACTCGAAATAGGTCCGGTTTGACCAGCCACTGAAAAGGATTTGTTAAACTTGCCGGTTTTTCCAGTCACCGGTAAGGAGTCAAGTGCAGAAATTGTTCCGGTTTCACCAGCCACTGGAAAGAAAGCAATCCATTCACTCGCATCTTCCTTGATCGGTGGTGATTCAGGAGGGGCCGAGGGGGGCGATCAACCTCTATATTGATACAGAAGAAATCTTGATTCAGGATCGATAGAGAAGCCAATACACATCTCTTACTAACATCCAAGAACACCCGATCGATGATGGCGGGGAATATAAATCTGGCGAGCGACACTTCGCCACCGAAAATAATATCTCTAGACAACGCTAGGAAATAGACGTATACATAGAATTGAAAATATTGATCTAACGATATATATGGAGTATATTTTATATAAAATTAACTAATGACTATATAAAAACGAAACTGGTTTAGTACGCAAAGACTAAACCAGAGTAATGGTAACACGCACAATCCTGACGGAAAGAAACAATAAAGCTATTAAATTAATTTCACGTAAATATGAAGTTTAGACATTATTATAGATCACAATATCATGAAATATAATAGGTGAGGCGACAACATAAAACTTCATGTCCGGTAAAGAACCAGAAGAATAAAATTAAATATAGACCTTGTTAAGGAAAATCACAATCTTAATTGGTTCATTCATGACAAAGGTGCTTTAATTAAGATCCTATTCTATCACAATTCACAAACCTACTAGCTTCTATACAAAAAATTCGAGAAGCATTTCTTTGTAAGAAGTATCAAGACCTGGTCCTTTTGAGTAGCTTAAGAGAGAAACAAAATCCAACCATTGCATGTGAAGCATACTTGGAAAGACATTGTATACCCGCACAACGGCACAAGTAGCTCAATGGTGGTTGAGTGAGGTTGTTGGATTAAGATCTCAACTTCACTTCCCGGCAACGACATCGTGAGAGTTTCTTTTCTGTTTTAATAGAATATGTGTATATTTTCAATTGCATGTACTAACCTTGTAAAGAAGCAAATAAGTATAACTTTGATCATTGATATATTTTATTTCTTATTTTTAAAAAATAAAAAAATATAAAAAATTAAAAATAAAAAATTTAAAGGTGAGCAGCAAAAATATTAAAATTTACTCCTCAATAAAATTAATAATAAGTCGGCAAACATGTTAGAAAATGTTAGGTTTATTGCGTAAATTCAATTACGTGTATACACAACACCGTAATTTAGTTAACGTTAAATACGTAGTATATGTTTTAGAGGCGCAAATGTGTTATTGCCTCAAGAAACTTTTAGAAGCACATGTTTTGACGCAATAATAATTTTGCGTCAAACTTTTGAAGGCAGACATAAAAATGTTGCTCCTAAATGATATTTTTAGAAGCAAGTCCAATATGGTTGCTCCCAAATGATAGTTTTTAGGGGCAAGTCAAATATGATTGTCTCAAATGATAGTTTTTAGAGGCAACCATAACTTATATGATGCTAAAACATACTTTTAGGGACAACGGAATATAAGTTGCCTCGAAGAGTTGCCTCTATAAATCAATTTTTTTGTAGTGCAGGCCATGAACCACCTCACTCAGAAACCATTTGAGACCATACAATGACTTATTCCTCCACCATTCTGTCGGATCGGGGTGTGAGGAGTCTGGGGTTGGTGATTCCACCTTTCCGATTGGAAAGACAATTTATGGAGAACTAGGTCATAGTAGGGCTGGACTCGGGCCGGTTCGGGCCTGGGCCCGGCCGGGCCTCGGGCCAGAAAACTGGGGCCCGAGCCCGAACCGCCGGTGGCCGGTTCCGGTTCCGGGCCAAACCGGGCCGGGCCGGTTCCAACCGGTCTATGTTTTTTTTTTTGATTTTGGTTCTCCTATTTAACCCCCTACCCCTACCCCTCAACCCCAAACCACCCCAAACCACCTCAAATGGCCCAAAATACCTAATCCAATCCAAAACTTAAAAAAATTTCAAAAAAAAAAAAAATTAAAATCCGGCCCGGACCGGGCCCGAACCGGCCGGGCCGGTTCACCTAAAGCAGGGCCCGAGCCCGGACCGCCCATCACCCGGGCCGGGCCAAACCGAACCGATGGACCCACCGGGCCCCGGGCCGGGCCAAACAATAACCGGGCCGGGCCGGTTCCGGGTCGGGCCGCCCAGCCCGAGTCCACCCCTAGGTCATAGCTATGTTGTGTTAAGGAATGATGACACTTCAACTATCACCTAAATATTTCTTCTGAAAACTATGCCTAAATCAAACGAAGAAGATAAGGATCAAAGAACCTAGGTTTGTCCACAATTTGAGGTCCTACAAAAAGGACACTATTTTGAACTAAATGTTATCTTAAATAAAATCAAATGCTAAAACTTTAAGATCTCATGATTTTTTTCTCATATCTTTCAATTATTTTTCTTAAAATAGGTCTGAAGTAACATTAACAAAAATTAAAATCCAATTGTAAGTATTTTTACATTGAGATGTTTGACTTTTTAAATCATAATTATTCGCAAAAAATAAATTGGAAAATATGGATGTATATAATAAAAGTAGATTTTAATTGAAAAAGCCTTTTTGGGTCAATATATCGACGTTCAATATATTGACGGCGTTGGATTACACTTAAAACTGAATTGACTGAATGAGTACATATAAAATGGTACGGAAATTGATTTAGTGACAGAGCTAGGTTGCAGCTAACCTTAGATGTATTTCTAATTGCAGAACATATTCAAATATTCCCCATCCATTTAATTAAGCTCATTCGTTCACTAAAAATGCAACATAGGCGCGCATGTCCCAACTAGTATAGAAATATGCCTCTAATAATTTAGTGAAATATATTTGAAAGAATGACCTCTATATTATCCTTACACTTTCCAATTCCATAAATATTACTTTTTCACATTTTCCAGAAAGGCCGGTAGGGGCTGCAATGGGGTCTTGTGTTGGCTGGTTGGAGGGGGGGGGGGGGGGGGTGCAATGGTGGGAGAAAGGTTGGTCAGTGGTCGCCACCGCTGCCCGGAGGCTAGGGATGTGGTTGTCACAGCCAAAGCGACATGGTTATGGGTTGGGCAGTAGCGAGGAGGGATGGATGGATGACATGGATCTGAGGTGGGGCTAGGGAGAGGACTAGATCAAGGTTTTGGCTGATGGGGGGCTGTTGGGGCCTGAGGGGGCTAAGCAGCGACAACCATCATTAAATGAAGCAGGGCGGCGACGGTCATTGGGTTGAGGAGGGGGCGGTGACAAGGTCACTGTGGCCAGTGTCACTGGAGACTAGGCTGGAGGTAATTTAGTAAACTTAATGCTTACTACTTAGTACTTACTAGTAGTCATGGACCCGGTCCGGTCCGACCGGCCCGCTACTATGCGGGCCCAGCCCGCTATTGTGCGGGCCCAGCCCGCTATTGTGCGGGCCCGGCCCGGCAAAAAAGACCGGTTCCGGTACCGGGCCTAGGCCCGGCCCGGAGAGTATATCAGGGGTGGTCCCAGTGCAGTAAAATAGCGAGGGCCGGTTCGGGTTGTTTTTTTGTTTTGATTGGGCTGGGTCATTCCGAGGGGTTTGGGGGGGGGGGGGGGGGGCAGGGGTTGAACTAAATAATAAAACACCGATAAAAAATTTACCAGAACCGGCCCGGCCTGGAACCGGTAACCTACCAGGCTGGTCCTTACCCATAACCTTTCAGGCCCGACTGGGCCTAGATCCGAACCGGACCGGGCCCGGTCCACCACTACTTACTAGTCACAATTTTTGGAAATTAAAAAAAAAACACTTTTATGTTCATTATCCACATTTTAATAATATTCAGGTTTCTCAATAAATAAATAAATAAATAATATTCAGGTCAAAACCCCAATATGTTTTACAAAATAAAACACTAAACTCATATTTGGAAAATAAAAGGCTCTCTCACTCACATACACATGTATCAGAAGTCAGAACAAATCTACTCTGCATTAGAAGGCTCAGACCGCTCAGTACGATACTGTGGGTTCCAACAATAATAGAATGATGATTACGGCCTTACGGGTTGGAAGTGAGTCTCAATTCTCGACCCATCCATTGACAGGTTAAACTCTAGGCCAATGATAAAACAAAAAAGCAACAGACTCTAGTAATCCAGATTTAACACAAATGTATCAGTGCATCAGACATACTCTGTACATAACAAATCTAGTAGGCAAATAAGTTGCTTTCATAATCATTCCTCTATAAAAGACTTGATTCTTCTGAGCCACCGAATAAGTTCGGTTTTATCTTTGTTCATCATATAATTGTGTAAGAATGCAGAAAGTTCACCATCTATTCCCCTGCTCTCCAAGAATTCATACACTCCATCCTGCAGCTTATTATTCAAATTCCTGAAAACAATCACCATGAACAAAACCTTGAACCAACCCCCTGATGGTACAGAACTTTGAGAAAAAACATGCATTCTGAAATAAAATAAGCATCAGTTACGGATAACTTGTAAATTATGATTGACGAACTGACCCCAAAAGGATTGTTAAGAGGCAAGATTTATCTTGTGCTTATGTGTCACACTCAAACTCAGTAAACAACCGATGTGAGATACTCACCACAACCACCACCACCCATTTCACCCCTCTCCCACCTCTCTAGCGGTCAGCTACCCCCTCTCCCCAAAAAATCGCCCCAATCCCTCCCAATGGCTCAACAAAGACCCCCCCAATGATCCTGCTCTCACTGTTTCCATTATTTTACCCCCATAACTCTAGAACTGGAAAAAGCTAATTATACTATTTGGGTTAGGTAGTCTT